CACCAGCAGCAGCAGCACCCCGGGGGCGGCGGCCACCACGACCCCCACTCGGACGAGGACACGCCGACCTCGGACGACCTGGAGCAGTTCGCCAAGCAGTTCAAGCAGCGCCGGATCAAACTGGGATTTACCCAAGCGGACGTGGGCTTGGCCCTGGGCACCCTGTACGGGAACGTCTTCTCGCAGACCACCATCTGCAGGTTCGAGGCCCTACAGCTCAGCTTCAAGAACATGTGCAAGCTCAAGCCTTTGTTGAACAAGTGGTTGGAGGAGGCGGACTCGTCCTCGGGTAGCCCCACCAGCATAGACAAGATCGCAGCCCAGGGGCGCAAGCGGAAAAAGCGAACCTCCATCGAGGTGAGCGTCAAGGGCGCCCTGGAGAGCCACTTCCTCAAGTGCCCCAAGCCCTCTGCCCAGGAGATCACCTCGCTGGCGGACAGCCTACAGCTGGAGAAAGAGGTGGTGCGAGTGTGGTTTTGTAACAGGAGACAGAAAGAGAAACGCATGACTCCCCCGGGAGGGACTCTACCCGGAGCCGAGGATGTATATGGGGCAAGTAGGGACACTCCACCACACCACGGGGTGCAGACGCCTGTGCAGTGAACTCACATAGGGGTTGGCAGGGGGAACTGTTCTCCCTTTCCTACCCCTCCTCCAACTTTTGATTGTTCTTTATTTTTTTAAGTTCTCTCCTATCTTAAAAAAAAAGTACAGAAAAAAACTGCACTGGACTATCCCGTAAACGGTAGCAGGTGAAATGTGTTTTGATCTTTACAGGCGAGTGCCCCTGCAATGGAGTGGAGTGAGTATCATACACAAACAGACACGAGACAGACAGATACACACGCACAGTGTCAGGCACCGAGAGAAATATTTCGCAAAAAAAAATTAAATTAATTCCGAAAACAGAATGGAATCGACTCTGAGCCCTGCTAAACACAAAGGCAGCTTTAATCTTGGAACGATGCTCAGAATAGGCACATGCTGCTGTTGTTTCTTTTAGGTGGCTCCCCATTAGGAATCAAAAAAAGCCCCTTTTGATGTAGACAGTATTTAACCGTTTGAATTTGCACTGCAAGAAAATTGAAGTTTACATTAACAAATACATTTTCTTTTGCCTACATTGATTTTGAAAATGACTTGCATTTCCCACGGTGAGCGTTAGGCAAGCATTGACCAGTCTACAAAATGTTCCTTGCTTTCTTTATGTGTATATGTGAACTTTTGTTATAAACAAGTCTTCTTACAGATGTGTAATGTTGATTTTCTCCTTTTACCATAGCCTATAGATGTATATTTAATATAAACGCAAACAACTTCCACTTCCGAGATATCTGACTCTCACAAACGATTAAGACGTGGTGCCTTCGGAGGCAAGAGTCCGGTTTGGAGGAGAATAATGAAAAACAATAACGTAAACTTCATTTTCAGGCAGTGTTTTAGGCTTGGGAACAGTAAAGGAAAACATAATAGTGTCTGATTGCTTCATTCTAGCGAGGAAGGCCCCCTGTGAAAGAGCTCGGAGGAAATGATGTGGGGGTTAACATGTATGTCCAGAGTTTTCCAACAGAAAGAAAGTGGCACTTTGAAGAGGACCGGCAAGAGGGAATATTTAGCTTCGGATGCCCCATAGGCAAAGTTCCCTTGTGTGCTTTTAGAATTCCTAATGACATCGCGTTGCAATATTGTGTGCTGATGTCAGCCTCTAAACTTTGTTTTATTGAGCAATTTCAACACAGAGATATAAACAGAAAGAGAACTTGATACATATATACATATATATTTATATATATGTGAGTTCTCCTTCTGTTTATAGTTATGTATGGTATTGCCTGCATATGTCTAGTGCATTTATTTTTCTTCGCTTTTTATATTTATTTTTCCGCTCATATAGAAAAAGCTCATGCCCTTTTGCTCAACTCGCGCTTAATTTATTGCACAAAAGGACTAATTTAAGTTGGACAACCTTGTCTTTTTCACTGGGGAAACCAAATAAATTGGAAAACTGCCATTTTCAACCCCTCTTCTTTTCTCCTTCGTGGATAGATTGAAAGTGCATTTCTTGACATTAACTTGACGGGAGACGGTCCACTTTCCAAAAACACAAACACAAAAGGATATAAAGGGGAGCATACGAGAGGAAACTTGGAGCAGTGTATGTGTGTATGAGATGGGGAGGGACTTTAAACTGTGTTAACTACAAATTAACAAATGATCTAGTCGGCACAAAAGGGCGCTGCGATAAAAAAAAAGACCGCTTTTTCGTAATCTGAAAAGTTTGTTTAGTTGAGTATTTGGCAATGATGGAGCAAAAATTTGAAACATTCTCTCGATGAACTATCAGATCAACACTGAATTCAGTAGGTAGGGCTTTAGAATATGTTTCTCATTGTCTCTTTAAGAGCCTGTCATTCAGGTTGTCTCTTATTTTCTTGGTGAGCAAATGGCGAGTTCTATTAGGCATATTTATTTGCCTCTATTCGGTTTTTCCAGCGATTGTCATAATGATACAGGCACGGAGCTCTTTTTTCTCTCCATGTATTGAACTGTTTTCTATTTAAAGTGTTAAGGACTTGCTCCCAGTGAAATAATTCAGATCAGGGCAGATCCAGTGGTAAAGGGAGGAAATGAACTTTCAGACACATAATGTGTGGGTAAGGTCAGAAAAATAAGTTCAGAGGATGTTTGTGAAAAACCATCCAACTCTAAATAGGTTTACTTAAAAATAATAATGAATAACAAAGTTACCACGCAAACCTTACCGCTATGTATATATGTTTAATATTTGTCCTTTGAAATGCAGAAATAGTTTAAATGTTTTCTTTGTCTATTTTTATTTGTTTCTTTTTTTAAAATGCTACCCAGGGAAATATTTTCATATCATTTAAGTGGCCTGCCTCAATGTATATTTATTTCTTTTAAAGCAAACAGGTTCTGGAAACTGTTTTTTGTTTTCTGTAGCTTTAAATGAGTAGGTAAACAAAATCTATATGGGATGTAATTTTTTAATTATTATTTTGTTTCCGTCTCTAAGAAAATACTTTGTTTTGGTACATTTGGATGTGCTTGTGGGGAAAAATAAAAACGCAGAGATCCTTATATATTTATGTTAAAGTAATATTTTATTATCTACATAAAACAGAAATGCACAATACCTCTATAGTTTGTTCTAATTATTGAAATAACTGTTTTAAAGATAGCATTGATTTGCGTAGTTCTTAAAATCTGGAGGGGAGGCGAACTGCCTAGAACTACTACCTAGTTATACTACCTTGGTATTGAATGGGATTTTGAAGTGAGTGTTACGGGTACGCCGACAGGTCCCCTATTTATAACCTCTACAGTCTTTTAGCTTAGCATGAGAGTCCATTTTCATTCTGTCGTGCCAAATCTAACCGCGGACAGTGTGTTTTTAAGCATTGAATCCCTTGTTTGGGGAGGGTCCTTCCTTGGATGCTTCTGCAAAGAGCTCTGCTTTCGGTGCCAGTCCCGTTCTCGTTGGAAGCATGTGCGAAAGGTGGCGAATATTTACTCCTCGCTAGTCAGCTCTTAATTTAAGATCTGATTCTTAAACAAAGGCGGGGCTTAATTACAAGGACTCCTGTTAAAAACAGCTAGATTTAAAGAAAAGGGCTGTTCAGTGACTTCAATGGAGGAACACTCGCCCAGAACCAGCAGTGTTGTCTCCCTGGTTTGGGGAAACCAGTTGGCTTTTGAATCGATTTAGAAAAAGCGGAGTGCTATGAGTTGGTTGCAATGGAGCAACGTTGTGTTAAAAACTAAGAAGTTGGCTAATAATGGCGGGCTGTGAAGCAGTTAGATACAGTTACGCTATTTGTAACAAATTGGTCACTTTCGAGTGGAAGAGCCCTGTGTGAAAGAAGTTCCCTTTAGTTTATTGGTGGGCGACATCAAACTGAGCAGTGTAAACACGTGTTCATGTGTTAAAATCCTTTTTGGTTTGCTCGGTTTAGTAAGTACAATATCCTCTCTTGTAACGCTGGTTTTCAGGCTTATTAGATTTCATCATCTTTCCCCACTCCTCGTCAATATCACACTTGTCCCAAACAGGTTCGGCTAAATGATCTTATCAGTAGCTGGGGAACGAGGTGTCAGGAAGAAGTGTTTTGTGACCGCAGACATGCTGATGGGTAAAGTGTTTAAGCTGGCTATAGATTTAAAGTCCTAGGTCAATATTCCACAAAACTGTCTTCAGAAAACAAGCTGCATCTGCCCTCTGCAGGACATTTCGGTGGACTTGGAGGAAATACTTGCTCCTGACAACAGGGCCTTGTTAACTCGAAACTATCACGTGGCAGCTGGACAAGATGTGACTTTGACGGATACCTGCCTTTCATGAACAATCTGCCTCCCAATCCGGCCCCTTCACCTCTAGTTTGAACAGCTCCAGGTTAACCAGAGTTTGATGCTGGACTGTTTTTTTAAAGGCAGAGTAGCAGTGGAAGGAGACAAGCATCTTTTCAAAGACTTTTTCTCCTCTAGCCACAGTGAACAAGGTTTTATTCCCTCCTCTACCCCCTCCCCCCCCAAAAAAAACCCCATGAAAAATAGAACTGTGGATCATTATTTTTCCGTTGGTAAATTAAACAAAAAAACACAAAGAAAAAATGATTAAGACTTCAGAGTTTTCTGCAGGTTAGAGGGAGAAGAAATACAGCATCTTACACATTGTGCGGTAAAAGCTGGGTTGTATCACCTTATTTCTTTCAGAGATCCGGCCTTATAGCTCTGATGTCAACAACAAGATGCTATTTCCTCTGCTCACTCCCTCTAAAGGAGGCCGAAGCCTGCGGGCAGAATTAGATTTCATATTATCAAGTCATTTTATTTTCTGTTTCTATTAACGTACCGACTAGGTGAGAAACAGCAAGTATATTATTTGAGCAGTAAGGCCAAATATTTTGTTGCAACCTAGCTCCAAAGGTGTAAGTTTCGTTTCTGCGTGGAGAATGGCTGGCTTGGCTCTCATTACATTCCTCGATCTTCTGGTGGGGGCTTAGAAATCTAGCCTGAGTCCTAGGCACTAGATAAAGAAGGGGTTGAAGTGGAAGAACTAAAGTAGCTGTATGGTAAAAGCGAGAGACAGAGTATCCCATAGCGAATGGCTTCAGGAGCCTTGGTATATATGTGACAAAGCCAGGCTATTGCACTACTTACACATACATTTCTTTTTCGTGGAGAGATTAATGGATAGACTTTCTCTTTAAAAACAAACCCTATTTTTAGTTAAGTTTTATTATAAAAAAGAAAGCAGAAAAAGAAGCTACAGCACGGTCGTGGGGGATATTGCGTCCCAAAGCCCAGTAGACTAGGAATCTACAGAAAAGCTAGATGGTCAAAAGGAGCGTGTATTTCCTCTTTGCTATCTTGTTGTTGTTATTAGAAAATCGGAAGCTGGTTTGTTCGGCCGATTTTTTTAATGAGTTTTGCAGTTTTATGTTTACATTTTGTTTGCCCCCATGTGACAGGGGAATATGTAAATACGCCGATTTAAAATTGCCATATGCGTGTGTGAGCAAATCGGTGCCTGACTATGGACATATGTGGCTATATACACACGCATTTATGTTAGCCCTCTCTTTTCTTCTTTCTCCTCCAGATTGGCTTTAACGGCGGCAAAGTTCGCTTGCGTTGAATTAACAACTCTGTAATTTATTTCACACAGCTGTAAACTCCAAAACAAAGAAACCCCCCAACAAAAATCCAGTCGTAGCCCGTGTCGCTCTTTTCTTCCTTTGCTGTCTCTGGGCGTTTATGCTTTTGATATCATTAAAATGGGTTATTTGTAAATCAAGGACAGATCCTCTACAGAGAGACCAATTAACTGAGGAGCAGAAATCCACCTCGTTCTTAAAGTTTATTCCACCCACGTCTTTCGGAGCTTTTATAGCTCTTTGTTCTGGTGCTAAAGGAAAACGTGCATATTCCATTCTAGTGGGGAGAGAAAATGATCTTGATACAGCTGCCCATTATGGTGAACCCGGCTCGAGAGCAGAAGGAACTGTATTGGAAAATATGGAAAGTTAGCGCATTAAAAAGTACCTCAAAATATACCCCCCAAGGAGGCAAATGTGTCAGATTTTTTTTTCCACAGAAAGAAGGGGAAGCCTTAGTTACCCCATTGGCAGCCGATTCTCTGAACAATACGTAATTGGGGGGATGTGGGTCGTGAACCGAGATCTTACCGCAAATATTTTAAATGAAAATAAATGGTAGGTTTCACACAAATCTATTTTTTTAAAAATACGGGGTTTCCCCGCCATTTAAAAATAGTCGGGATATTTTAAAGCATTGTGATGGAATGGTATTGTAGAAAGGAGGCTTGTAGAAAGTTGCTTCAGATTTTCTTGCACATATTTTAAATGGTCGTGTTTTAATTCGTAGGCAAATTCAGTTGTCAGTTTTATATTCCCTAAAAAAATCTGCTCATCAAAGAGATATTTTGAGACACAGTTGCTCCGTTATATTGTTTTGGAAGAAATCCCCTTTTTCTTGATAAATTTGTAAATGGAAAAACAAAAGCTTAACAAAGTCCTATTCGATCACTTGGAAGTTTGAGGATTTGCACAATTACCTCTCTAGAATAAATCCAACTACAGCAAGTCCATTGCATCTCAGCAGCATATAGCCTAGCAGTTGGTGCACTTTGTTGTACTTTGAAGAGCAGGTTTCTGGGGGGAGAGGGGTGATCATAGTTTCGAAACCAGCAAGATTAAAAGAAAAGCACACGCTCTCCTTCCCATCTTATGTCTCTCACTTAAAAAGTTACCATGGCTGTTTGTTAAACTAGTCTAATTGTTTTGCGTGGATTTTCATACAATCTAATTAACCTAAGTTTCAAGTCTCCTTTCGAGAGCTACAAAGTCCTAACTAAAAATTCATACAGAGAAACATAAAAGTATAACCCTTGTCTTAATAACTCCCAGTTGTGCCCAGGGTTAGGGTTAGGGAATGGATATGCCATATGCAGCCCGTAAAGTTGTGTTTCTCTGAGACTTTGTGTAAACCCATCCGAGATGATGGGCCTGTAAGTTTGCAAGAGTCTCTCGATAGCAGCGGATTTTCGCTGCCAATATAGTTTTGGCTTCCCTTTCGGTGGGTTTACTCGAGACCACACCGTGGGGAAAAAAAGTAGAATTCTGCGGTCCTTCTAAAATCCCTTTTCGGGGAAATATTTACTCTTTTGTCCAAAATAAAAGCCAGAGAAACAATGAGCCGAAAGGTGACCGCA